TCTTTGAACTACTCATTTGCAATGTCCGGTAAGGAAACGCAAAAAAACCTCAACTTGTCATTGTGATAGTTCAGCATCACTTTGTACTACATGTCCCATTTTTTTAAAAAATCACCAAAAATAAACCTGTTTTACCACGATTTGGTAAAAAAAAAAAAAAAAAAAAAAATAAATTGTGTCTCTTAGTGCAACCGTGAAGATATTAGTGACTGGACTGTGATCAACATTTAAATGACAAAAATTCTAAGATTTTTCAGCTGAAACTGCAGGTTTTGTTTAAACTAATCAAATAGGAAACAAGTACGGAAAAAACAAAATAAAATGGATGTATGTAGAGGCATCATTTTTTCCAGTACTGGTAACACTTGTGGACACTGACATAAAAAGATGTATATGTTAACTTCAGGTTAATTCTGAGTTCTATTTCTAGCCATGGTTGTGTATATTGCAGTAAAAATCTGCCCAAAGTGAGTGAAATTGTGGCTGGAGCAAAAAACGCCCGCAAACTGCTTGGGGTCCAGAGGGTTAAACTATACAACTGCTGCAAACTGAGAGCTCAAGAAGGAAAGAAAGAAAAAAAACGAGAGAAGGTAAAAGCAATATTAAAAAAAAAAAAAAAAAAAAAGAGAATATTGTGACAAGAAAAGGAACTCAAGAAGGGATAAAGACAAGATGAAAGAAGGATGAGAATTTTACAAGAGGTGAGGAAAAGACCGAAGAGCAGAAGGAATGAAGAGGGGAAATAAGGAGAACTGAAGGAAGATGGGGATACAGCAAGAAGAAGCATGTGTGTGACAATAGACCCAATTATCTTGTAAGAATCTCATTTAATACAACTCAGCTGCCCATCAAACATTTTAGGAGCTTGGAAATTATTTCTGCCATCTGAGCCTTAAAAATGGATTTCAGTTTGCTGTAACTAATCAAACAAAAGATTCATCGTGTCAGTCTGACCTGAGCCCAGAGGACAGACAGACATGTTAGCTCTGAGAAGTCCTATCAGCTAGATCACCGATGCATCACTTCACGTATCAGTGACAAATAAACTATTACAGAATCATCCATACATGTACAGAACATATCTGAAGCTAGCAGATCCTTAAAGATCTGGCTCCATGACTCATTTTTACAAGTCTGAAGTGTTTCTTAAGCATATCTTTGACATTTAATTCACCTGCAGTTGGCTCAATCTTTTAAAATCCATCTAACCTCAGAGCCCAGAGTCCCTTCTGCCCTGCAGCAGGTTGTTTCAGAATCTATTTACATGAAATTTGCACTATTCATGGACACCTAGTCTGATTGAACCCGGGGCCACACCTCCAGCCAATCAGAACACCGCCTGATGAATAATGGAAACGAAAAATGGCTGCACCTGGATACATATAAGTCAAAGTGGTCTGTGAACTGGATCCTGAATGGAACGGAGAAGATGAAAAAATTAATTTCAGCCATTTCTCCAGTCAATCTTCATCTTTTAAAGTATATGTAAAGACTTTATTTCAATACTGAACAGCTAGAATTAGCACATTTCCAGTGTTCTGACCAGCTGGAGTCAAACTCTCACTACAGAAGTTGTATATATTTGCTTAGATTTTTGTGTTGTGTGATGGATTCCGCTTCAAACCTGCTTGCTGTGCAAGGCTGCAACTTGAAAATCTCAAAGAAGCTAAAAAAAACACAAAAAAAACACAGAGGAGATAGAATGTAGTTTTAACAGCACAGGAGGGACCTCCATCACAGTAATCCAAAGATAATTTTTTTTCTCCCCTTGTTTTCTACAATTCCAGCTTTCAAATCATGTACAGAGTTCTACAAATCCCCAAACACCAAACCCAACATCTTAAAAACTGCGTGGGATTGTTTCAAACTGTTTCTAATACAAATCATTTTAAGTCGAGCCATTTGATTCTGTGCCAGCTTGTTTTTGGAAAGAAGTTAAACAGTATTGTCTCACTGGGAAAAGAGAAGAAGAAGAAAAAGACGTTTATTACTCAACAGGAAAAAGAAATAGTTTTGAAGATGCAGATTGAAGAAATTGATTGCAGAATTGTAGAAAAACTGCAATTAGTTAAAACGGAAACGGCTGTTGTTTGCTTTTATCCTTTAAACTTTGCTTTGAAAGATTTTATCTCTGTAATAAATGTTGTTTCAGTTGATAATGTGTTTGCAGAGCTGACAGGCCTTTATGGAGAAAACTGATTGTCCAAATTTAGATCAACAACGTGGTGTTTTACAGTCAAAACTTATCAAGCTCCTAGTTACTCTTTCAAAGTCGTGTCTTTGGCTGTATGTGGAAAGAGATTCTGCAGACAAACTATGAATAAACTTGAAGATTAAACTGAGCGATTCTCTCAAAATCATTCGGTACAACAGTAAGTGTCTTTTCGAGATGTGACAGTGATGCCACCAGCAACCTTTAGTTTATTATTTCACAACTTAATTGTAAAATGATGTAAAAGGAGGTTCTTTGAGAACCTCAGCAGTTTCCCCAGTAAATGCAGTGCAGTTCAGATACTTGTCTTATCACATGCTAAACATGTATTCAGAGCATTCGACTGTTAGTGGAACCGTGCTGTGCTGTTAAAAAAAAACAAAAAAAAAGAAAAAATACTTGAAGAATTACAATTTTTTTGAACAACTTTGTTATTTTATCACGAAAAAAAAAAACTTTAAAAAAAACTAAAAATAAATCACTCCAACAAGTATTCGTGTACATGTTTTCTGTAAAAAAAAAAAAGAAAAAAAAAAAAAAGCCAAAACTGAAAATAACGTCCACATCAAAAATCTGTATTTTTATAAAATGGTAAGTCACTGTTTTACATTTGACTGTATAAATAAACAATTTCTGTTGTACTTAAATCAATACCAAATACTGCAATGTTACAGGTATTTGCAGTTGTTTAAAAGAAAAAACACAAATATTAAGGATTGGAAAATGGTTAAAAATAATAATAAAAATTTTACTGTTATTTTACAGATTTCCCAGTTTTGTTAAACATTAAAGGAAAACATACATAATATGCTGATTTAAAAATAAATACATAAATAAAAACAGGCCAAAGCTATAAATAATGTCCACATCAAAAATCTGTATATTTACAAATAATAATTCATTCTTTCACAATGAATGTCCATAACATTGCACTGTTTTTCTGTATTTAAATCGGCTGAAAAATATTATTATTTTACAAATACTTGCTGGTGTTTTCACTATTTGTACAGCTTTGGAACATGACAGTATTGGACTGTCTTTGAATGTATTTTTTTGTTTGTTTTAAAAATAGATTTGTATTTCAGTGCAATTTGGTTAGCCTGTAAACTTATGGCTCACTTCTTGTTGTCATTATAAGGAACACAGATGACAAACCAAAGTGGCAGGACTGTCTACAATCTTGCAGGTGCCGTTAAGTTCCCTGTAAGTTGAACTGTCACTGAAAAACAAAAGCTGCCTTGATATCATCTACAGCTCTGCAGTACCAAAAATATAGTGAGTCTTCACTGAGTTACATCTAACTGTTCAAATACACGTGAAAACCTTAATCTGAACTATATTATTGTCTTTCCATTTTTTATTGATATTATTTTATCACATGTGAAACAGCATTTAATGTTAACACTTTTAAAAAAGAACTGATGTTACTTGCATTTTTGAATACAAATAATCACACTTTTAGAATATTGTGCGTAGTGTGAGTTGGACGGGTTTGTTTGAACATGTAATTGGATACAATTGTGAATAAATGATAAAATTAGCTGAGCAAAGAGCATGAGGATTTGTGTGGCCATTAATTAAAGGCAGTTGAACTACAGTTTTTTGTGTTTCCTGTGATATTAACAGATCACTGTTGGTGTTGGCTTGGGCAGACAGAGACTGGAAAATGGACGAATTTGGAACTGGAAGAATATTATAACAATGACACACTAGCTAGTGTCAAACTGTAATGCTGCTAATAATCCACATTTTTATCAAAATGAATGTTTTGTAACTTTGCCAGGATACACTTTTTGTACCGTAGTTATGTAGGATGGTTACGTCTTTCCCTAAGCCTAGCTATGAATTGTAATGTATAGAAATATACAGAAGCACTAAAACAAACTAACAAACAAACAAAATGCATTTTGTTATTTATAAATTGTCCAGCTTTAAACTGGCAGAAGCATTTTGCAAGTTGCTGTTTTTTTGTTTTGTTTTTTTAACGTGACTTATAAGCATTATCAGCGGTGAGAAGCAACTAAAAACAACTACTTAACTGTGTATAAGCAGAATTTTAAATGACTTTAGATGTTTTTGCAGGGGTAACTCTATCCAAGCTCATTTGTGCTGTTACTGTGACACTTGGCAAAAAAAAAAAGCTGAGAGACTGGATTTATTTTTACCCCACAACAGAAAAAAAAAGCAAAACAGGAACAAACTGTTGTAAAGTGAACAGGTAGGCGGATCCAGCTTCCTTCCACTGCCTCCCTGCTCTATCCCACCACATGGAAACCACATGGAGGAGCCTCTGCGGTGAAGCTGTCACAGCTCACAACAACACCGCTGCTCTTCACCTCCATCCTACCTGCTGCTGCTGCTGCTGACACTCGGCTGCTTCTTTCTGCTGATTCACTCCACTGATTTTGTCGCTGTTTTGGTCCTCCAGCAGCAGCAGCAGCAGCAGCAGCTCCTCGTGGTTTTGCCTCCTCTCTGCCCGTGCAGCCTGTAATGACTGAGAGAGGAATGCTGCTGGTTTTATATAGGCCTCTAAAAATAACTCACCCCTCACTGCCATCTAGGGCCGGACTGACAGCCTCCACCGTCCAATCCCCTGCCTGCCTTCCTGGAAGCTCCGCCCACCCGCTCTGTCTCAGCGCCTCCTTAATTGGACGCCAGTGACATCATCAACCCCATTTACCTTATTAGGTCACGCATGAAATTGATTGACAGGTGGCTCCTCCTCCTCTCAGCGCCGGTCGCCTGGATTGCAGCGGGGTCCAGTCTGCTGCTGCTGGAGGAGCAAACCTGGCAACCTGGCAGCTCGTACGGAGACCGATTGGCAATCTGGCAATGCGGAAATAGATCTGGCACCCCCCCACCCTCCCTTCCTCCCGATCCCGGACTGAGGAGAGAGGCGTGACAGAGCCAGCAGAGAGGAGAGGGGATTGCACTGACAAAGATAAAATAAGCAACACTTTTCTTTTCTCTCAGCTTTTTTTTTCTATTTAAAAAAAAAAAAAAAAATTCAAGTGCTCAGGTGAGCACGTCTGCACCGGCTGGGCTCCTCCGGCGGTAGTTTTTTTTTTTTATTTGTCAAGTCTGAGAAGAAGAGGAGAGAGAGAAACAAGAAGAAGAAGAAGAAGAAGTGCGTTTGATTATCGTTTTGGATCCCGGACTTCTTTACTGACTTTTTGCATCAAGCATGGATGTGTTGGCGAATTACAGTATTTTCCAGGAACTCCAACTCGTTCATGACACTGGTTATTTCTCCGCGATGCCTTCCCTGGAGGAGAACTGGCAGCAGGTCAGTGGATGATGCGTTTTTCTCTTCTTTTCCGGGAAACTAAAAAAGAAAGAAAGAAAGAAACAATAAACAAAAAAAAAAAAACAAAAAAACAAATGGGGGGTGGTAGGGGAGAGTTAGAGTAGAAACTGGTTTTAAATGTGTGTGAGCTGCTTGGGTTTTCTTGGTTCTTCTATGTGTGTTTTTGCATCAGCGGTGCGCTCCGGAGCGGCAGCGAGAGCCCCGTGTAGTTGCGTCTTTTTTTTTTTCTCCTTTCGCTCACATGGAGCACGGCGAGGTCCGCTGACAGGAGAAAACACACACACACACACACGCAGACACGCACACACTCACTCTCTCTCACTCACACACACATATAGAGGGAGTGGGGTGAGAAGGGGGAGGAGAAGGAGGAGGATACAGAGAGCTTTACGCACTAATGGCACTAATGGACAAACCAGCGTTCCCCCCAAAAAAAGAAAAAAAAAAATTGCGCAAAAATACGCAGATTTACGCACGAACGAACGGTCCCTTAAGTGTACCTGAGCCACGCTTAAGGCTTAATTAAACCCCTTTAATCATTAATTTAAAGGCAGGAGCATGACGCTTTAGCTCTGTGAAATCCCTCATGATGGTATCCAGGTTTTAATTTTAGCCTCAAAAGAATGCCTACATCTCCAAAAACCTGATAAACACCTTTCAGATGCTGCTGGATGAAACTGTAAAACGCAAGTGGTGAAGCTGTAAATGCTGCTTTTTCTTAAAGGTGTTGTGGTTTTGGAGAAGATGCAACACCAGGGCTCCACATTTGTCTGAGGAAGATCAGATTCAGCTGTTGAAGTTACTTACATGGCTTGTATAACTCTTTACTGAGAGCTGACTGAAGGTGAAAGTGATTTTTGTGTGCCTTTCAGCCTGAATTGATGATGGAGAATCTGAATCCTGGAGCGGCTGCTGTTTTTACTGTGTCTGGTGTGATCGATAGACCAGTCTGCTCAGATTATCTCCGTCTCTCTCTCACACACACAGGCTGTGGAAGATGGACACATGCCTAATAGCAAGTGACTTGTTCTTAAATAATATATCCACATCTGCCACTGTTTGTTTGCAGATAATCCTGCTGAATTATGCACATCATCCACTGTAGAACATACAGTAGACACAGCAGAAGAGCCCAGAAACCTATATTTAACGAGTAAAACCTTAATTTTCATGGTTTGAAAACAGATCAAAGGTACACTTTGTATGCGGATCCCATTCAGCCACATGAGTTTTTGAGGAAATCTATGATTCAAAATCTAAATGAAGATAGGGAAAGGCTCAAAATATGTCAAAAAGAGCCTGTTTGAGCTTTTTAAAGATGAGAATTCAATAATAGAAGTCTCCCCCTCTTGAACTTGAGAAATGGAAGCTGTTAATTGGAAGCCATCTTCAGCCACATGTGTGAGTGCAGAAGTGTGTTTTCATACTATTTAATGTTCAGCACACTCAAAGCCTCCCAGTGGAGCCCTGCATGGCACTAAATCTACTCAGATGGTGCCTTTTTTGTCCATTATTTGTCTTTGAGACGGTTGAAGCGTGTGTATTTATTCCTTTAGTGCTGAATGAAGCCTAAACTGCATTTCTCCTCTCCGACTGCCTCACTGACACCAATTCACACCGTCTCCTCCTATTTTTAGTGCAAACAGCGCATAGTTTCATCCCCCTGTAACCTATTTTTTTCCCCGTCTGTTATCATATTGTTAATTGATTGAGGGTGGTTCAGGAGTGAAACTAATTAGGGCCAGTCTGCAGTGTTCACTCCTCTGGGTTTGTGTGAACACGTTAATGTGGAGACCAGACTTATTGATTTCCTTCTAGATGTTTACTCATGGATGTTCAAGGCACAGGATCCCACTTCAACTAAGTGAAACCCTGCGATTTACATAAATGACAAGTTGAAATAATAAACACAAGCATCAACAGATTGCATAACACCTGGTTGTACTGGAAGTCGGTACTTACTCTACAAGCAATGTAACAAATGCTTCAGCCATCCTGGTTAATAGTTGCCTACGCCACACGAGGAGAGCTAACGGTGCCCTCTGGTGGGCAGGTTGTTCACTACAGGACAAGTGCACTAGAAACAAATAGAATAAACAGGTCTGGACTCTCATATTGCACATTTTGAACATAAAATGTATTAACTGAGAATACACAACTTTCTGTAGATAATTCAAAGCACATCAAAAGCAATTCTAACACAGAGGTCTTAGATGAAATTAAATGCAACAGAAAGGGTAGTTGGGTATTTTTCCATCATTTTTGGCAGGACTAATCCACACAACATGTCCCGTAGGTAGGGCAAAGACAGCTCAGCAGCCACACACTGGGACTGTATCAATCTGTGCAAAGCAGCCTCCTCTAATTACCTCTCCCTTGTGATTGGCTAATTGGCTTTGAGTGATTTTCCCTCCTACCAATCAGGAATGTGTAGCGATGACATGTTAATTAGTCCTTAAACTGGAAGCTTCTCATACAGAGATGTCAGCTGTTTAAGAGGCGTTACCATGGCAACAGTGGTCACCTGTTCCATGTTGAATGCAGAGACCGGTTCAAGATGTGTTCAGCTTAGCTAAGCACGCTTAAAACAGGAGAAACTGCAAGCCAAACTCTGCAAAGTTGTTCGATGAAAAATTATGTCTCGTGTATTTAAAGCATCTTGTATAGAAATTATATTGATAATAAATCAAATGATGCATGTAATATCGTGACTGGAGGCCCTCATGCTGACAAGCGCCCACAGAAAATCAGCTTCCTTCGGAATTTTCAGCCTCTTTTAGCTTGAAGTTTTGTTTGTTATGAAACACTTGCTTTATGGTCCAGACTCAGCTGTTCCAGCAGCAGCAGCAGCATCAGCTGGCATGTTTTCAGTAAATAAGAACCAATAACACCAAGTACAACACCTGCCCAGCACCACATACAGAGCTAACAACCAGCTCTGGGAGAAAGTGAGGAGACAGATGTGTTTGTCAGGAACTGGTGGAGCCCAAAGCGGGGGATATAGTAAAATGAATATTGTATTTAAATATTTAATAACGTAGCAAGTGGCAGGACTGTGCCATGGATGTTAACGGCCTCTCAGGTCGGCTGGATGTGGAAGTAGGAAGTGGTTTGCTAATAGCTCAGAGCTGCAACCATTTACAAATGTTTCTGTCTGATGTGGATTTTTTTTTGCACCCTTATGGCCCCAAAAAATTATATAATTTTTCAGGACTTGTGGTTGCTTGTAGTTTTTTCACTTGCAACCCTTGAGAGCATCAAAACTTTCATTGGATTCATGGATGCATTCGCAGCTAATTGACAAGATGTAGCATAAAACAAGACAAATCTCAAGCTGTTAAAAGTGAGGAGATGCTAGCAGTTGCCAACTGCTTTGATAATTTGTGCTAAGCTAGGCTAAAAACATCTGGATCTCCCTCTATATTTAAAACACAAAGTTGATACTGACCATTACTAATCAAAGAGACCAATTACTGATAAATGTGGAACTGATGTACATTTGCCAAAAAGGTATACGTGCTAAGCTAGGCTAACAACATCTGGATCTCTCTCTGTGCTGAAAACCAGGAGCTGACTGATGTGTTTTCTTAAAGGCCAATAGGGATTCTTAAGGAGGCAGTAAACTGATATACCGCTATAGAAATTTAAATTTTGATGCCAAAATTTGTTGACATGCCTTTTCTTATTCCTTAAAAAAAAAAAAGTGTTAAAAGAGAACTTTTAACATGTGGACCTTAGTGTTGATAGAAACAAATAGTGTTGTGGGAGACAAACTGCTTGGGACCACAAAGTGACTACAGACAAAGAGAGGCAGCTGCATCAGAGCCAGAGTTGCTCATTTTTTATATATTTTATTACATTGGGAATTGTTTTTTTTGTTTTTTTTTAAAAAAAAACAACAACAGCACAATGATTAGAAAACTGCTAAATATTTGACCAGATATCAGTCAAACCCCACTGAAAACACAGATGAAACCGATTTCTTGTTGTTTTTTTTTTCATGTGACGGCAGTTAAAACATCAAAACGGCATTCAAAATGTCAGAATATTCTGTTATTGTTTCTGCCTTGTGGACGAATGCCGCCATGTTTGTCGAATCTTTGTCACAAATAGCCATGTGAGTTTGCATGTTGACCGGAGGGAGCGTTTTTCGTTGTAAACTCTGTGTTTCGGGGTGGAAAATGCTGGGTTATGGTGGATGGATGGCCGGGACTGAGAGCAAAAGATGTGTTTTGTCAAATTTATCTGCACTAGCGGCGACACAGTCTCAGAGAGAGATGAGAAAAGACAAACACACACACACACACACACACACACAAAGTGCAGGCACACCCACATTTTTTCCACTCTTGTTCCTTCTGGCTCCTTCATTCACTCCATCACACACACACACACACACACACACACACACACACACACACACACACACACACACATGCTCGGCTGGCATGCACTAATGGAAAGCTATGGTCTGGCAGGACTCATCCCGCCACTTTCGACAGTAATTGGCCGTTTGCTGTCAGACGGACAGAACAACACACACACACACACACACACACAGACAAACAACACACACACATGCACACACACTAGCAGCCTGATTTGTGGGTGTCATTTATCTTTCCTGACTGTCCCTGCTCCTGCTCTTTGTTTCCTCATACAGGCTTCTTTTATCAGCTGCTTTGCATCGTGGCTAAACATGTGGAAAATGCACTCTCCGTCTCGCTCGCCTGTCCGTCAGCCTCGTTGCCTGTGACAGCGCGAGCCCATGTTGTGCGTATAATTGCCACATCTTTGCAGGTCTGGATTGATGCGATGGGCTTTAGGGATTTGCGTGTGTTTGTATGTGCAGTGGCCGAGGATCAAATGGCGAACCCAGACTTCCCAATTAGATGTAATCCATTTATTTCAAAGCAGAGCTGCGCCAAAAGTCTGATGAATGAGAGGGAAAGCAGAGACAGTGGAAACAGAGGCATGAT